CACCGTGCCCCCCCCACAGACACACACAGCGCGCTGCGCGGCGCAGGTGGTCTCAGATGCGGGTCTGAAATAAGCATTTTAAAATGTTTTCAAAATAAGTCTGGCACTTTGGAGAAAATCCTGGACTTGATCATTTATCCCCTCTGGCCTGGGAACGTCTCGGAGTCCTCCAGGACGAGCTGGAAAGTGTCTCTGGGGAGAGCGGGGTCTTTCTCCTGGTGTTAATTCACAGTGTTGATTTCCTCAGTGTTTTCTCAACATTGGACAGTGTTAAATAAGCTCCGCCCACTGTTAAGTCTCGCCCTCTTCCACCTCATGTCAGAAAGACTAGTATTTTCTCTGCAAGGAATGCTGGGTAATCTTGTAGAAATGATGTTTTTTACATGTTTATGACTATTAAAGAAGTTCATGAGAGTCAGAATGAGTTCTGGTTTGTTTTCTTGTTCAGTTTGATCAAGTTGTTCAAGTTTAAGTTTGTGTTATTGACCATAAATCGACACCCATGAGCGAGAGGTACTTCCTGGTGTGTGAAGGGTGACTCCATTATACTTTTCTACAAAATACTGAGTTGTGTTACTGCAACACTACACAGAGTTTGATTTTAACTCTGAGTGTTAAATTTACCCTCTCAAATATCTGTGCATTGACACCTTGTGGTGCCTGAAGTCAACAAGAGTATTTTCTTAATTTATTTTATTTTGTTTTTTACAAAAATAAATACACATTAGAAATATAACATAAAAAAGACCCAGAGTCATAACTCGAGGGTGAAACAGTCAATAAATATTAAAATGTGTCCATCCGTCCAGCCATCCATCGTACAGTAGAAGTACTGCAGTTAACACTGCCAGCAATTAACGCACATCTGCTTCATTTATTCTTCTCCTACCTAAATGCTTTATTTTTCTTTACTGCAGCATTTTGTTCTTATCATCCACTGCCACCAGTTTGAATTAGTTTAGTTGTGTAAGATACTAACATTGGATGAAATGCTATCTGTCTTTAGTTTATTAATATTTTAAGTGAAACTGTTATGTAGCTGATGCTGATGGAGGTCTTTCTGATCCTCCTGTCCAGGCCACTGAGAGAATGGATTGGCCGGCTGAAAGGTGACTCGGACAGCGATGAAGACTTGACAAATAACAGAACTACTCCATCCAAACCTTTAGACAACATCCGGTAAAAAGGTTTTGTCTTGGTTTGTGTTGTTTGTTTCAGGAGTTTCTATATTTGTACAAAAACAAAATTGTAATTTGAGAGATTTCAACTTATACAATAAAAAACTGTAATCTTTAGAAATGCTCGGTTGTTGTGTTGCAAACCAGTGCTGTAATCATTCATTTTCTTCCCCTCATTAATCTGCACTCAGGTCAAAATCTCGCTACGTCACAGGTACTTATGCATTTCCTGGAGAGAGCTGGACCAAACACAAGCAGCAGAAAACTCCAGGAAACCTGAGCCAGAATGAACTCAACCAGGTCAGAGAAACAGAGAACTCTGCTGTTATTGTGTTCACCATGACTTAAACAAAAAAAATGGAAAATCTTTTTCAACCGTCTATTTAATCCACAAAAGTCACTAATTCACAAAATTCCAGCCTGCACCTTATAAACAAATGGGCTATTCTGGATAAATTAAGGTATTTTTCGGTAAGTTTTCGGAGACCTTAATATATTAACATGTTGTAAGCAGGAGGTCTCAAACATTAAAATTACTGGTAACATTTATTTATATTTTGAAATAATTTACAGAATGCCTTTCACTGCTTTTGTATTTTGTGTTAAAATAAACATTTGGGTAAAATAGTTTTTTTTTACATTTGTGTTTATTGTGAAGTTGGTCTTAAATTTGTTTTAAAATGGCTTTAAAAAGTCTAAAATTTAACTTGTTTTAAGCTGTAGTAACCCTGCAAAAGAGACAATTTCTTAGGATTATTCACAAGGTATGACTAGTGATGTAGTGCATTTGTGCGTCACTACATATGTATGAAACTAATGATCTATGTTACTGGATTGGGTGTGGCTAGCACGTTGCTAGCTACACCGACGTGCACACACTGGAGCTCTGTTATGCATTGAGTTATGCAAGAATATCGACAAAATGAATAGATGTCAATGGATTGTGAGGCATCATCCTGTAGAAAAACTATAAAGTTCTTATTTCTTGCTCAAATTTTACAAACTATGGTTCAGAAAAGCTGAGGAAGTTGTGAATTTAATGGTTTACAGAAATTAAAAATAAATAACTAATTTAAATGACTAACAGAGGTTTAAAGTGATCCATGACTAACATTAGACTTTATTTAATAAACATACATTTTAACTGTAAAATAAAGACTAAAAATACTGTAGGCTGTTTAGTTTTTATCATTTTTAAACTAAAAGTTTAAAAATATTTTACACAGACAGAGCCATTTTATTTACACTCAAAGCATTCTGGGTAAATGATGGCGTGGATAGGTCATCGCTGTGAGGCTGCTAGTGAGTTATATCCACCCTGAAGGTTAATCTTGGACAATATCTGATGATCGACTCTTTTAAATGAAACCAGAGAGCGTTGACAGAGAGGAGAAGGTAGAAATGACTCAGCCTGMAACTGAAAATATGGATGGAGGACAACAGAGCTGCTTCATGGAAGAAGAACCTCAGCTTAGCCTGTTAGCTATAGCGTTAGCCCCTATCACCATATATATGTATGTATAAATGCTCACAGGTGGAGCCATTTTTTTTTACACAAAAAGCATTCTGGGTAAATGATGACGTGGATAGGTCATATATAGGTCGTATATATGCTCAGCTGTACACATTCTCCTCTCGTCACTGAGGTCCTCCATCCACATGACAGAGAGGGGAACACAAAAATGACTCAGCCTGCAACTGAAAATATGGATGGAGGACCTCAGTTTAGCTTGTTTGTCYCGCTAGCYCCGAGCTAATACATATAAGGCTCAGCTGAGGTTCTTCTTCCATGAAGCAGCTCTGATGTCCTCCATCTATATTTTCAGTTACAGGCTGAGTCATTTCTACCTTCTCCTCTCTGTCAACGCTCTCTGGTTTCATTTAAAAGAGRCGATCATCAGATATTGTCCAAGATTAACCTTCAGGGTGGATATAGCTCACTCACACAGAGGACCTATCCACGTCATCATTTACCCAGAATGCTTRGTGTGTAAATAAAATGGCTCCYRCRGTGTTAAAATATATTTTTAAAAATTTTCAAAACTAAACAGCCTACAGTATTTTTACAGTCTTTATTTTACTGTTAAAATATATGTTTATCAGATAAAGTCTAATGTTACAACTAATCATGGATCCCTTTTAAAATAAGCATTTTGCACTTCATATGTGTTAGAAGTCCATGTATGCTGACCAGCTAGACATTTATATATTTATCAACCAGACCTGATATATTTAAAATAAAATTTAAAAATTTAACTTATAGATTGATAGATAATATATAGACGTGTATATTAATATACATTTATAACCATCCATATTTAACATTTTTTTCTTCAATAGATTACTATAAAATTGCAAAATTACACAATAAAGTATGATATGTGTTTATACTGTTTGACACTTTTATGTCAGCTTAACTTTAATAAAGTTTTTGCTGTAAACTACCATCATTTTAACTCGAGCAGAAATTATTTCAGGTCACAAAGAATAGTTTAATGAATTTGTTTTTATGACAAAGATTAACTCTTCAGCTTCATATTTATGAGGGTTGTATGTGACCCACAGCTGGTACAATTAGTCTTTCTTGTTTTTGTCTGGAAATGTACAAAAACACACATACTGGGTGTAGAAAATATAATATCTATAATTAAACAGGCCCGTCTGATAGCTTGACAAGGACTGTATTATTTTAGGTTTATGATGCTCAATCATTACATTACTGTCTATCATTAGCGAGTCTACATCATAATGTCTGAATTATTATGCAGTCTAGTCAGTAATCCAGTCCATATTTTACTTGTTCAGTATCAGTAAATAATATAATTGACAACAGATAGTTGATTCTAAAAAAGGTTTAACATGAACATTGACGCTTATTAAATGTTAGCAAACAGGTTTTACAGTTAAAACCATTCATTTTGGTTAAATATGCATAAGATTTACCTGTGAAACATCATCCCTTTTATTCTTGTAACCTTGTAACAATTTTTATAGTATATATCAAAGTACTTTTGACATTTGTACATTTACTAAGCATTTGTTTACACTGTGCTACATTCTGCTTATTGATTTCAATGGATAGCGTTAGCATTAGCTCAGTGGATAAAAATCCCCCTTGCGAAGCACACCCAGGTCACGTGACAAAATGTGTTAAATTCCCAATATGTCCTTGGTCAAATCATCGCCACCTGATAGTTTCTGTTAATTTCCTTCTGCAGAAAGCTGTTTTGAAAGGCAGTGGGAAGAAAGGCCAGGACTCTCCTTGTGTCAAGAAAGGAGCTGGTGACATCAGCAACCAGCAGGTAGAAACAATAAATGGAAAAACTCACAATTACTATTAAAATCAAATATAGTCTTTTTTTATTGTAAGATTTTATAACAATAGTTTTTATAACATGTTTATTATAATCAATAGTTTATAACATGTTTATAAGATGTTATAATAAACAATAGTTTATTATAACAAGTTTATTGTAAGATTTTATAACAATAGTTTTTATAACATGTTTATTATAATCAATAGTTTATAACATGTTTATAAGATGTTATAATAAACAATAGTTTATTATAACAAGTTTATTGTAAGATTTTATAAATAAGGAGAAAAAAACTTTAGAAGAACATGTGATAATTAAAAAAAGTCATGTGATGTGATAATGAAAGGGATATACATTTTGAAGTTGGGCTCTATGCAAAAGTTATGAACAGTAATTATCTTACATGTTGTTTATAGCTCTTTGGACAGATTCATGTTGTAAAACAGCTGAATTCTGACTGGAGTGAAGAGCCAACTTCTAGTCTGAACTCAGCTAAGACCAGAGTGGATTGCTGCTTTTAAACTAACTCCAGTCTCCAAAGTTTCATAGCTGTTTGTGGAAACATTTTATAAACTTGTGCCCTTCCTTCACTTTCACATTATCTGGTCATCTATATAAAACATTATCAGCAGCAGTGAAGGGTAACACTTTTAGTGCAGCCTGAGGCCATTCTGGTATGAATTTGTTCCATAATAATCATGTGATGTGAAGCTGATGGTATTTTGCTTTATAATACTATTTAATGATAAAGATCTGAGTTGTTTTTAGACTGCAGTGATCTGTGGGTCTGCTTGGACTGTGTCGAAAGTTAATAACAGATTGTCTAAGCAGCAACATTTGCTTTGAAAGCCTTTTTTTATACTTTATTTTTTTATTTTTGAAATGTTTTTTATACAGAACAGGAGCGAGAAAGAAGAAAGAAATAATACTAACAAGAGTAAAAAAATAAAAAGATAATAAAAATAATAATACATTAATAAATAGTCACAACAAGGACATTAAACAGCACTCAGAACAGTGAGGTCACCAAGGGAGGGAAACAGCTACACTTCACAAAAAGATAAAACTGAAACTGACAAATTCTGACAGTCGGGTTACTGTAGATGTAAAGTTTCATGAAGAGTCAAACAGGTGGGAGATTTACCAAGTCATGCAAATCTGCTCCGCACCTAACCCCGGATTTCATTCCTAATAATGTTTTGCAATACTCAGCTTACTATCGAGTTCCGATATGTAAACCATTTCAACAAGTGATTTTTGATTTTGTTTTCCTGGAGTCTTAAGGAAAAAGTTAGCATTTCCATTTCACGTATTTCTTCTACCATGGCTAACCAGTCCCTCAATGTCGGTGGGCTCCCACTAAGCCACTTTCTTGTTATTGATTTCTTACTTGCTATTAGTAGTATTTTCAAAAGATACTTATCCTGAGTGTTGAGTTCACTTGGTAAACTACCCAGATATACAGTATAGTTTTAAAGTTATTCTTTATTTCAAATCCAAGAATTTTTCTTATATCTTTGGTAACCTTTGACCAATAGGAATAAATCAGCGGGCAGCCCCAGAAAATGTGGAAGTGGTCAGCCATCACATTATTACATTGTCTCCAACAGTGCCCTGATTCGGTCCTGCCGGTCTGAGAGAATGTTCTTTTGGGGGTTATAAAAAATCTAACAATATTCTTCCATGAAAATCCCCTCCAATGTCCTGAGCTTGTGGTAGTGGAGTTAGTTTGGCATATGTTTAGCCACTCATCCCCCGTCAGCATTATTTTTGCCTCCCTTTCCCATGAATTTTTAATATATATTGTTGATGTTTTTATTGGCTTCTAAGCACCCATATATTCTGGACAYCCTCTTCTTATAGGATTTACCTTTATAAGCATCAATAAAGATATTAATGAGGTCTTGATCATCTTTTTCCAATGTTTTATTGTTCTTATTAAAGTAGTGCCTGAGCTGCAGGTATCTGAAAAAATCTTGTTTGTCAAGGTCAAATTTTTCTCGTAATTGTTGGAAACTTTCCAGATTGGCACCAGAAGAAATCACACAGTATGAAGTTGTACCTTTACTGGTTAGTTGTTTGAATTTTGAATCAAGTTGTGCTGGTACAAAATCCCTATCATGTTCAATCCATCTTAAGAAGTGAGTTTTCCTCTCTAAGAGTGGGTTGCAAAACTCTCTAAACCAGATGCTGAGAGGGACTTTTGTGGAGACACACAACTCATCTGCATGTTTGTTCTTGAGATGTTTATCCCCCAGTAGGGCTTGCAGGGGGATGTCGATTTGGCTTAATTCTAAATCTTTCCATTTTGCTTCATACCCCTCTTCACACCAGTGAACCACAAATTGCAGTTGTGCTGCTTTGTAATAATTTTCCAAACATGGGAGAGACATTCCTCCTTTGTCTCTTGGTAGTTGTAGCGTTTTATAATGTACCCTTGGTTTCTTATTTCACCATATAAACCTGGAGATAATCCGGTTCCACTCATTAAACTGCTTGGTAGGAATTTCTATTGATAAAGATTGAAATAGGTACAGCAGTTGAGGTAAAATGATCATTTTTATGATTTCAATTCGACTGTACAACTCGAGCGTTAGTGGGGCCCATCTGTCCAAGTTATTTTTTATTTTATTAGTCATAGAACCGTAATTTACTTTGTATATTTTGTTTAAATTTTTGGTAATATTAAAACCTAAATATTTCATGATTTTTGTTTTCCAGTTAAATTTGAACCAATTACTTATATCCTCTTGGGGTGAGTAATTAAAGCAGAGGGTCTGAGTTTTTCCAGTATTTAATTTATAACCTGAATAAAGTCCAAATTGGTGGCGGCAGGACATGAGGTGAGGTAGACTGGCATCTGGGTCAGATAAAGTCACCAGAACATCATCGGCGTATAGACATGTTTTGTATTCTCTTCCCTTAAATATGATTCCCTTAATTTCTGGGGCTTCCCTAATTTTTTGAGCAAGTGGCTCTATAAAGAGAAGAAGAGAATTGGGGTCAGAGGGCATCCTTGTCGGCATCCTCGTTCCAGTGGGAATGTGCCTGAAAGGCCGCCATTTAATTTGATCCTTGCTACTGGCGAACTGTATATTGATTTTAAGCAACTTGTGATTGTGTTGTTAAAGCCAAACCGCTGTAGAACCAGATATAAGTATTCCCATCTTACAGAATCAAAGGCTTTTTCAGCGTCAAAACTAATTGCTAAAGATTTTAAATTATTTCTGCTCATAGTGTCGAACAAGTGTAACGTTCGCCTCACATTATCCCGAGTACATCTATTTTTAACAAATCCTCTCTGGTCTGTGTCAGTCGATTAGGGGATAATATTTTCTAGTCTACTGACAATTATTGAAGTGAATATTTTATAATCAATGTCCAAGACAGAAATGGGCCGGTATGAGCCACATTCACTTTTGTCCTTTCCTGGTTTTGGTAAAACGGATATTATCTCTTGTTCCCAGGATGGTGGAATCTCACCTCCTTTAAGGACATGATTAAAACATTTTAACAGCAATGGTGTTATAGGTCTCCTAAAAGTTTTGTACCATTCAGCTGGTAATCCGTCACCACCTGGTGACTTACTTGTTTTTAATTTTGAGATAGCTTTATCAACCTCTGCTGGTGTTATTTCTGCAGATATCCACTTATTTTGCTCCACGCCAATTGAGGGGAGATCCAATGAGTCTAGAAACTGCTTTACTGAGGGAAGCTCCGTTAGTTCGGGTTGACTATACAATTTCCTGTAATATATTTCAAATGATTTTTGTATTTCGTCAGGTGAAAAACACATCTGGTTGGAAATGGGATTTTTAATTTTATAGATGGTTCTGTCTAGTTGTTGTTTTAATCGCCAGGCTAATAATTTTTTTGCCCGAGGTCCATTTTCATAGTAAGTTTGTTTTGTATATTTGAGATTAAATATCACCTTATCATTGAGTTTAGTATTTAAATCCGCTCTTATTGCAGCAATTTGCTGTAGAAGATTGGGGTCTTTGGTTTCAACATGATTCTGCTCTAAAATGTTTAACTGTTTAGTCACTAAATTGCTCAGATTTCTCTTTTTTCTTCCTTGATGCCCACAGTATGATTTTCCCACGCAGTACTGCTTTTGCCGCATCCGCATATACTTGGGGACATATCATTGCTGTTATTAAAATCTATATATTCCATAAGTTCCTTGTTAATAAATTCCTCAAATTTGTTATCGTTCAACAGAGCTGTGTTAAGTCTCTCTCCATATTGTTGTCTTGGGATGAGAATCTAAATATAGTTTCAAATATACCCCAGAGTGATCTGACACATCCCTAGTACCAATACTACAGTCTAGAACCCTGTATCTGTCTGCTCTAAATCAGAAAAAATAATCAATTCTTGAGTAAACTCCATGAGGGTGAGAGAAAAAGTGAACTCCTTAGCCAATGGGTGGCATTCCCTCCATACATCAACGAAGCCAATCTTTTTAACAAAGCCAATCTTTTTAATCATTTTTTTTATATACAGAGATTCTGGGCTGATTTTTTTAAAGGGTTTGAGAAATCCAGGGAAGGATGCAGTTGTGCATTCCAGTCCCCCCGATATATCAAAACACCAGCTGTTTCAGTCACTATAAGATCAAATATTTTATCAATAAGTATTTTGTCATGTCCTGGAGGTCTATATATGTTGAGTAAAGTTACTTCATTTGAGTCAAGTGTTCCCCTTACCAAAACAAAACGGCCTTCTTTATCTGTAATTTGTTTGGATACCTGAAAGTCCACATTATTTGCAATTAATATTGCCACGCCCCTAGAGTGTCCATTTGAGTGGGAGGATTAAAATGTCTTTTTAAAACCCTTTTTTAAAAATTTTACATGGTTCTCTTTTGTTAAATGGGTTTCCTGCCAGAAGATTATTTGTTGCTGTTCTCTCTTCATCTTAGCTATAAGCTTTCCTCTTTTAATTGGATTCTGTAACCCGTGTACATTAATAGTTATAAATTTAAATGGTTGTTGGAACATAAATCTTCAAATGAATAAATCCCTCTAACTTACATATCCAAGGTGACCTTAACAATAAAACATTTACAAGACTCAAAAACATAGAACCTGGAACTTGAAAAAGTACAAAAGGAACGACTTCCAACACAAAACGACTCATTAAGGAGTCCTTGATGAAGAGAAAGGCCCCCATGAGGCTCTTCTCATGGGGGGTCTCTCCAGTGCTAACTGACCTAGCTCGGTACGAGTGTAAGCTCAGTGCACAATCAGAGCCTTTAAACCGGCTCCCAAACAACAGTCAAGCATTATCTACTTTTAAATCAGTAACGTTTCTTATTAACATTAGCGAAGGTTAACTTAAGTGTTGTTATAATGGTGTCTGACACAGTGTCTCTCTACGAAAATGTTCAGTTCTCAGTCCACACGCTGGATCAGATCACTGTGATTGTTTATCTTACCGCATGAGTTTAAACGAGAGACACGTTTGGAGAAGCGGCAGCATCTCCAGCCTCATGACGAAATCCGCTGAGTTTTTTCTGCGTTCTTTCTCCGTGTGCGTCGGGGTTACTTCGTTTGATCTCCTTCGTCACCCAGGACAGTCTGTCCAGCTTCTCCATCTGCGCTGCCGTGTGGGAACCAGCGTTGCTAGTAGTGCAGTCAGGCGCGAGACCCCTCTTCTGCAGATCCTTCATGGCGTCCGCCGCAATGCTATATATGATCGGGCCACCATCAAAAAACACACGGAGCTTAGCCGGCGATGGGTTTGGAAGCGGAGACCTTTTTCTTTCAGAGGTTTTCTGATAGGGGCGTAAGCTTTCCTCTTCTTTTGAGTCTCTGCCGGATAGTCCTGATCGAAATAAACCCGCTGCTGGTTGAGGCGAATTTCTCTTTTCTTCCACGCGGTGCGAAGCACCAAATCCCTGGTTCTYAATGCCAGAAAGGAGATCACCACGGAGCGGGGGCTCGCATTCTGCGGTGGTTTGGGACCCAAAGCCCGGTGGCAGCGTTGTATAGCCAGGTCGATATCTTGGAGTGACAGCTCAGCCTTAATGAAACCGTCCATAAATTCCAGCAGATTATCTCCCTCTGTATCTTCCAGAATCCCGTACACACGGATATTATTTCTTCGTGAGCGTGCTTCTAGATCAGTCAGTTTGGCTTGAATTTTATCTTGGTTGTTAAAGACAGCACCTCTTTTGCCGCTGCGGTCCACTCCTCCATTTCTGCCACACGTTGTAGACTCCTCCGTTCTCTTTTGATTCTCTTTTATGTCCGACACGACTTCATTTAGTTTTCCATTAATCTCCTCTTGAAAATTTTCTTAAATCTCTCTTCATGTCGGCAGTGAAGTCATCACGAAAGCAGCACAGCTCTTCCTTCATGTCTTTACGGATAGCTACGATCTCTTTGTGGATAGCTCCGGTGCTAGCTTGAAGCCCTTCCATAGCCATGTGCTGGTCTGAGGCGCTTTCGTCGAGTAATAAAGTTCTCTCGCTTGTTTCTTCTGTCTGTTTTGATTTCCCGTTACTTTTTGATACTTTTCCCCTTTTCATCATAAAATAGTTGGTCTTAGTGGGTTAATTCAGCTCTGGCAAAGGGGATTTAGCCGATCGAGTTGGGAGCTCTGGTTCAATGCGTCTGCTCGCCTCGGCGCCGTAACTGGAAGTCTTGAAAGCCTTTTATGTAGAAATACTTCCAAACTAACAAAAAAAAAAGGCCCAAAGGGCTTTATATTTAGAAAAGAATTAGGGGCACAGTGCCTTTTTTTTTGAATTCTGCGATAAAAGTCAGAATTCTGACTTAATTCTCAAAATAAAATAAAAAAATTCTTAGACTAAAGTCAGAACCCAGGAAAAAATAGTATTTTTTGTTCCATGGCCCTAATCCTCTTCCATATTTATAACACTTGTGCAATTAAGATTTTAATCTTTTTTTCCTTTTTGAATCACTTAATTCTACACATGGCTCTGAATCTCAAATTTGAAATAAAATACAAGAAAATAAAAGTTTAAAATGAATATTCAGTTATGTATTGTTCTTATGAGAAGCAAGATAAAAAAAGATAAATGTCAGAATGTGTTGATAAAGTTAGAGCCAGGAAGTCAAGGAAGTCACACAATCCCTACAATGTTCTTTTTTTAACTCTTTGAACGTTTTGAAGCAAATGCCTGAATTATAATTCTGTTTTCTACAGTGACAATTATACAGAAGTTGAATCTTTGATGTGATCTTAATCCTGAACTGTTCACTCTTTTCCTGACTCAGCAGAAAGAAGATAAAAAGCCTCAACCTAGAAGACTACAGGATATGTTTGAGAAAGGTACGAGGTGAAAATACTTACTGGGATAACTTGATGAAGTTATAAAATTTAATTGTACTGCTCTGCATTCAGGAGAGAGATGACACAGTTCAGAGAATATTTCCTGATGCTTTGGTGCAGTGTGTTAACAAAGAATTTACATTTTTATCTACTGTTAAGGTATTGTGTGTGTTATTTGTGTTAGTTACATAACACAGGTATTTATAACTGTGTTATTTTGATACAAAATTCATGTATGATGAAATCCTCCATAAAGTTGTATGTTTATTATAGACTGGAGTCAATTGTAACCAATTTTATTCCTAATGTCCTACCACAGTAAATCCAAATTTTTTTTAATACAACAGAAATATTGTTTCGCTGAGCATAAATCATCATAGTTTCTCCCTGTCGTTTTGCTGTATAATAGCTATGTTGAAGCTCTGCATATAAATAAAAACAGCAGTTATTTTTCTCACACCAGAGTCAAAGGAGAAAATGTATTATTGTTTTTTTTATGGTAACCGTAGAGCGGAGTTAAAAAGAAGATGTGGACGTTAGTTGCACATTCTCTACCTTTTGAGAATAGTTTCAAACTTTCTTTAACTTTTGTCTTTCCACAGATGTGTCTTCAAACAGCTCCAGTTATTTACCAGCTGATGACCGATACTTGGGACATTTTTTGTCTTCCAAGGCGTTTCTGAACTTCAAATTTGACAGAGAAGCCATCATGAGATGTTTTGATTACTGACATTGCTGATCATCATCACCATCAAGCTTTAGGCTCGAGAGACTTTTTTAATCTCGCAGTTCAAATTTCTGAGCATGATTTTTTTTGTCTTGGTTGTTGCAAAGGCACACTTACAAAAAAACATCCTCCAAATTCGAGCGACTAGGCGGAGGACGGTTTGTGGTACTTTGCCTTTGTTTCCCCACTTTTTAGACCTTTGAAAGTGACTTAATGTAATCTTTAGTCCTGATGTGACTTTACTGAGATAAAGTCTGAAGGAAACTAGACAAATGTAAAAGGAGAGGGCTGTTCAAGTTACCCAGAAGGCCACAACATTCATCATGTTGAGAAGAAAATCGATTTTTAAACCTATATTTGGTGACGGTAAAGAGTTAAATCTAAAAGAAGCCTAATAGTAAAAGTGAATTTGGTCAGTTAAATGTTAATTGTCACATCAGGATTTTAAGATTTAATAAGCTTTAAATTAATTTTCTCAAATGATTTCCGAGCTTGTAAATGTAAATAATGTGAATTTATTGATAGATTTGAGCCTGTTTGCAAAAAATACAACCTATTTACTAATTATATAATACAGAACACAATGCTATTTTTTATTTATTTTTTGTTATTTCACTGTTATCGTTTTAAAAATACAAATCTTATCTATACAATTGTTTCTCCACAGTCAGTTTTACTTCACAAGGTAATTGTGTCTGATTCACATCTACAAACTCCAGACTCATCTGTGAATATTAATTTAGTCTTAAAATATTAACTTTAATCTGAGCCTCATTTGTTATACTTTTTATGTTATGATTGTTGGTTGGATTTGGCTTTTAACTGTGTTTTTGTCTTTATTATTGACATCGCATTAGACTTTTGGGAGAAGCAGAATGTAATGTTACATTTTGAATATTAGTAAATTAAGAACAAGCTTTTTTTACATCTCAAACTGAATGTTGTTAAATTCATGAATCACTGTTGTATGAAAGCATATGATTTGTAATGTTAACATTTAAATTAATACAAAAAATATGTTTAAAAGTCCTAAAAAATATTTTCAGAAAATACAAAAACAGGCTAAGTTGCAAACAGACGAGGCTGAATGGTGATTGGATTTTAGGATTTCTAGTTATGAACATCTTTTAATAGTCAGTATTAGATTTGGAATTTGAGTTTATGGCTTTCAGTTTTACAAAATATCACAAAATAACTGAAAACCGTATTTAAAAAAATGAATATTTTGTGCGCACACACAATAAAGACCAACTATATACATTAAACTAAATAGTCCAGCTTTCAAATGTATCTTGTCCTATAGTGACATAATCAACACATTTCTGTGCATTTGTGAAGGCTTTGTCTCAGAAGACAAAACATTTATGGGTTTAAATTTAACAAAAGTTATTTTTCATGTTTTTCATGACCCAGTCTGTGACCTTGATGGAAGAGGAAGCGTAACCATCAGATACCATGAGTGTAAAAAGTCAAACAAAAAACAGATTTCTTTTAAAGGCCAGACAGGATTGAAGAAAGGAAGATGTTTGTAGATGTTTCAAAGGGGACTTTGTAAAATATTTGTTTCATTTGTTCTTTGTAATAGATTTTACAGATGATAATGTCAAATTGCACTTGGTTTTCGCTGTGTTTTTACTTTGTATGTGAATCCTAATAAAGTGTTGTTGTTTACTCTCAACCCTAGTTTTACTGCTAAAACAGATCCTTTGATTTTCTTCAGGTTAAGATGTGATTTTGGGCAGTTGCCTGTCTAGTTAAATAGGTTTTATATATATATATATA